TTTCACAAAAATACCAGTGAATAGTTAAAGCTAAAAATGGATAAAACAATGTATTTAATGAGAAGATAGATGATTCATTGAAAAAAATATATTTTCCAATGCACTTTCTTGGAGAGACACTTTTGTTTGTGTGAAAAATAAAAAAATGAAGCTACGGTCATAAGAATTCAGCCCCATACATGAAAACTCATTGTCATGGATATACATTTCTCATCATTCATTTCCTGATTATTAATTCTAAATTGTCTTTCTGGTCATTAAGAGCATAAATCTTATATGAATAATTACAGGATTATAAAAACCTGTATTTTCACAAAGTCTTTGTGATTTCCCTCGGTTCCTATTTTGCTCAGTGTCTTTTTTCTTAGTGCTCTACTGAGCCCTGGATTTGTGTGTGTGCTTGTGTGTATGTATGTGCTTGGGGCGAGGGAGTTGTTTTCATGTGAAGCTCTTTGTTTTACCTTTTTGTATGAAAATTGCTATATAAATGAAGCATGATGATAAAATGAGCAATCCCTTAGGACCATTGATAAAAAAAACAGGTTGTGCTGTACCTCACACTTTGATGGATTTGGGTTTAGCCTGTGCTTTAAGTGCTGTAGGGAAATTGTGAAATTCTGTTTTTGTGACTCTTTGTTATTTCTTAGTGGTAAAAAGAGGTTAAATGGCACTGAATTAAGTTTTTAATGGACACACAGACTAAATTAAAAGGGTCATGGCATCATCATTCTACTGTGCGTCTGAGTGTGACTTACTGTTTCTCTACATCTTCCACCATGCGATCAATTCCGTCCTTTGAGGGGACGTGAGTGCCGTGGATCAGGCTGTTGGACGTGGGGTAAAAGTCTGCACCACTGTGAAGCACCAGCAAATAAATTAGAAATCCATTACCACAGATAATCACCATTTTAACATACTTAAACTGACTTCTCTATTCCATCATTGTGATTACGGTCATTCTACTGAGGGAAAATGCTGTGGCTGTAGGGCAAAATGTGTTAGTGCATCATTCACAGTTCTGCATGTGGCAGCCTTTAAGGGTGGAAAACCTGCAGGCACTGATCTTATCTCTGACCTTAGCATGTGTGCCCCTCCTACATCTTAGATTACTTTGGGGGCGTGCATATATCAACAATAACCCCAGGGCATATGAGGGGGTACGTTATTAAACATATACAAAATGCTTTGTGCACATGTGACGGCTTTATGCTAAGATGATTACGCAAAGCAAATTGTTACAATTCATTTTACTTGACTAGCAATGTCACAGTTACGGTCTTAATAACAGAGATGTCTTCACGCATAATTTTTATGACCCTGTTAGTGGACTGCACAATGATCTTTTCATGCCAGAGGGCGTCTCATCCCATGCTGAGGTATCTTAGTATCTGGAGAAACTATTAAAAGACAGATGGAGGACTGTCACAGTGCAGGAAGAGCGGACAGAGATTCAACTCACCTCTCATCTCGCTGTTTCTCGTAGCTTTCAAAGTCTGGTCGGATCTGTTTGGTGAGCCGCTGGTACTGTCTGAACTGGGCCTCAGCATAACCTGCAGTCCATTGTGTGAGAAGGAGAGAGAAAAAATTTGAATGAGTTAAAATTACCGGAACTAACAGCAAGCAGGCGCAAAGCTCAGCAACAACCTGTGGCCGATTGAGGAGAGACAAAGAGACGGTTCTCCTTTCTTCCTCTCTCTCTCTCTCTAGAAGACCCTCTGGTGGTAACTTTTTCCTCCAGAGGTTTTGATGCAATGCAACATATGGCAGCCATATTCAGGAGACATGGTGGGCATTTAGTTTTTTTCTTTAACAGTAGATTAAATTGGAAGCAATTTCAAAAGATTAATATCCCATGGAATCCTTGTTACCTCAGCCAAGGAGGTTATATCTTCACCCCATCCCTTTGTTGGTCTCTCAGGGAGATTACGCATATGCTACGGAGTGGAATTCAACAAAACTTGAAGAATTAGAAACGGGCCAAGAAGAAACCTATGAAATTTTGGTGTAGAGTCGGATGAAGGGGCAGAGCCAGGATTTCCCCCCCATTTTCTTCAACACTGGGAGAGAGAACGTTCAACATTTTACATAATGATAAATCTTTAACATAATAATAAATAAATCTTGACAAAATAGATATTTAGAGGACTGATATGTATAACTTTGCACTAACACATATACATTGGACACAACAACAAAAACACTGCTCTTTCAATGGGGAGACGGCACGGTTTGCCAAACTGCACTGTGGTTCTGTAGCATTGTGTTGCTCGCGCTGTGTACAGCAGAAGTTCACCAGATCTCAACCTTTCATGTAGCAGTGGAAGCACCAGCCAATCAAATTATGTTCAAGCAAATACACATGTGCAGTTGCTTGCAAATGAAATCACAAAAATGTGAATGCAGAGCCAGCTGGCCAACCCGGTGTGTTTTCATCTGGTTATTGATTTTATTTGCTGGCACTTTTCTTTAGCATTGTATTGGTAGCTAGCATGGTACACTAGCTTGAAAGCCGGCTATGTGTCCCCTGAGTACGAAAAGCCGGCAACAAGCTTCGGCACCGCCCACATCCAGCGTTAACGCAACACAAACATGCAAGTCCATCGTGGACCTTGGTGGAGTTATGTGCTTTTACGGGGGGCCATGCTGGTTTGCAACTGAAACTGCAGATGTTAAGGACTTAAGCAGAACCATCTTCAGTAGCAACATTTCTCTGTGTGATAAAAGGGTGGAAAACTACCAGACCACCAATCACATGCGACAGAACATTAGACAAATACAGAAGTAGAATCACGGTTCATCACTTTCCTCAAAAGTAAATTGTATTGAATTACTATTTACTAAATAAATAGTCCGAGGTTCTGTGGCGTGACATGGGTCTTACTCATCGTCTTAAAAACAGCTGTTTAATTTAATGCCCATTTGCCCTAAAAGAAATTCCAATGAATTAAGTAATGAATGCCAATCATATTAAGTGTGAAAGGGACAGAAATTTGTAATTAGCTTAGATTTCATAAAAAAAGGTTTAATTGGTTTTAGTCTCTACTTTTGAGATTTAACTGATTCACAGAGCTATTTATTTGTTGAAGCGAACAAGAAACCGCTGACAGCGTGTTAAAAAGTCCAAGTCTGTGTTCTTCACAACCACCAACCTGCAAATCCTGTATCTGGGTTCTTCTTCTTCTTCTTCCTCTCCCAGCGCTCTGCATCATCAGCAGTGATGTCCAGCAGTTTCACTCTGTGATAGTCCTCCCCTTTCTCAGCACATTCCTGAGAGCCATACAGAATATTTTTTAATGGAAAACTCAATTGGACTAAATTAATATTAACTGAAAAAAACCCATCCTGGCCTGTTGTTGTTTCCACTGTTATTCCAGCTGATCAACATGAAACAATCCTGACAGTTTGTTCAACAACACTGGTGAATATCCAGAGCACCATCAACTAGCACAATATACACTTCAATACCTTTTTCTTTAGATCTTCAGCGAGCTCCCACTCGTGTCGAGCTTTCTTAGCTTCCCAGTTGGAAGGGAGCTTCTGTCTCTTGTCCTCCTCCACAACCTCCTGGTGGTTCAGTTTCCGTGCTTCGTTCTACAGAGGAAAACAACACCTGTGGTCAACATGTGTACAATCAGCTGAGTGAAGGTGGATCTGCAGATCACCCGGACATGACTGTTTATTTCTGAAGCTGACACTAAACTATCATCAGTGCTTTAACCGTACACATGTAAACACCTCACCCGTTTGAAATGCAACTCCCGAAATTTCCGCAGCCTCTCTTCTCTCTTCTGAGCCGCAGGAGTTTCGGACTGTTCCTCGTCGGTGGCTGTAGCAGTTACCTGAACAAAAACAAAGCTACTGTTATCTTTGGAAAACATATTATATTAGACGTAAATGAATAATTACCTATTGCAAACAACACAGTCGAAAACACCAGGCGGAAGTAGCGTGTAACAGCGACAGTAAGGAAAGAGCAGCGACGAGCTAACGTAGCTAAGTAGCAGAGGCTAAGCTCGGTTAGCTTAAGACAACAAGTAAACAACAAGTGTGGCACAGAAACACAACCTCAGCTGGTGGGGTTAATTTAACCCGCTCTAGAGTCAATTATATTTGTCTGTTGAACTCCGTCACAACATTAAAACAAAGGAGTAATTTGAAATGAAAAGGAAACTACGAACCGTACTGCAGGACGCCATTGTTGCGCTACAGATGCTAAGCTATAGGAACAAGACAGGAAGTGAGACGTCATCACCGGATATTGAATCGACTATAAACGTTAATATTTTATAGTTTGGTCAAAAAATATTTAAATAAATCTTAATCACTGTACAGACCCAGAGAAAAAAAATCTTTATTATCTTTTATGAATATTATTTGAGAGTGAGTTTTAACATTTCTTATACAATCTATGGTTTTAACATAATTGAAATGATGTGACCGTGTTTCTTTCACATGAAATAAATATTTTATTTTCACACGGTGGATAAAACTGTAGTTGTGCTTGCTTTGTTTGTCATTCTAAAATGCATACAAAGCATATCTATATTAAATCTTCATATTATTTTTTGTTATTCATCATATATTTATCACTCATCTTATATATAAGGTCTAACATTTAATAAATAATTTTGTAAAGTTCAGAAAGAAAAAAAAATAAATTGAAAATAACCGTATTTATATGTCTGACAGATGCAGATGTTATGAACTTATTTTGTATTTTGAAGCTCCATGAACTGGTGAAGAAAATAAGTTCCAGAGGGATACACACATGAATAAAAGTAAGAAAAGGTTATTTCTGTAAACACAGATGAAATAGGCTTATTAATCAGTAATGGATGCAGAGGAAGGTGGAGTGTAGTGTGTGTGTGTTTGTGTCAGTGTGTTTGTGTGTGTGTGTGTGTGTGTGTGTGTGTGTGTGTGRSTGTGTGTGTGCGTGTGTGTGAGAGAGAAACGAAGCCACTTAAATGTGCTAAGGTTCAGTTCACTCAGGTGTTTCCTGAGACAGGAAACTAAACCAGGCTGCAGGCGGAGGAGGAGAGACTTACAGTTAGTGCACAGGAGTGAGCTCCAAGGCAACAAACATATGTACAAATGAAAATGAACAAGCCCCATCCTACACAGAGGAGCATGCAGATTTTAAGACAAATAAGCCAAAGAAAGGCATGTGAGGGAGCATCAATACAAAACCTATATTATCCACCATTTAGAGTTTGTTTCAGTTAAGTGGCGAGAATAACACACTTCTTTTATTAGTAGGGGTTGTGCAGGGAACAGTGGCACTTTTTGTTCAGTATTAACACTAGACAATCATTTCCTGACCTACAAATGTATCTTCAACCAAGAGGTTTGCAGCAAGACAAAGCTACAATCTTCAAAATGTTTTCTCTTTAAAACATTTCAAATTACCTTCAAGATTAAGTTACTATAACTAAAGAAAGCAAAAAAGTTATCTAAATAAAAGCTACTAAACTTGCAGCACTCAACACTGAAATATAACTAACTCAGTGTAAACTAGATTCCAGCTCCCCACTTCTAATCAGAGTTTAACCCCAGACTATGGACCAGAATAGCCCTGTTCCGCTTCTCCTTCAAAAGAACAAGTAATATGTATGAACTGAATGAAAAATCCAGAATCTGGATGAGCAGTAGGCAAAGATTGAGTCAAAATACTAACCCTCTTAACTTAGATACAAATACACATTCTGCATGAAGCAGGCAGAGAGTGTGGGACATTACAATCCTAATTCAAAGGCAACTTTAAAGCATCTGAGGGTGAACAGGAAGTGTTTTTTAAACAAACTAGTCTGGGGTTATTTTTTTTTTCCATCACCTGTCATACATTCAATATAGTAACACTGACAAACATGATATATTACCACAAGCGACATTGAAATTATTTGCTGTAATGTTGCACTAGTCGTGTGCCTGTTTTTATCAGAGCACCGCGGCTAAAATGATTGCCCAGTCTCTTGTATTTTACAGCCAAGTCTTTGTGTATGATTTTCTACCAAGCCATCTCGCCTTTTGAAGTTTAAATTCATTGAAAAATAATTCTGGACTAATGGAAACTGGCATGACGCACAGAGACAGCAATCATGAATATGACTGCAGGTCACACGGTGAGAGGCATGAAAGGTCAAGCATAAAGTCATCAGTGAGCCACTCAGAGAGTCTGTTTAGACTCCCTTAAACTCAATTGTTATGGTCATTTCTGCTGTAGAGAAATGGACTTTCATATCTTTTATCAGTGCATCTCATTTTTTACCCACAAAAAACACAAGCATCAATCAGGGAAACATATCCTCGCACCTCCAACCATGGTTCTATGATCCCATCAGGAGTAAACACTGTATGGAGCTGTTTGAGCATGTTTGATTCGTCCTCCCTGTTTGATTGCATTATGCCAATAGAGCTCTTTTGTAGGATGTAATTAAGTGAAGTTTATAGTCGTAGATTAAAGCGTCCTCTAGATCACAGGCAGTGGTAATGGAGTGATACATTTTCACTGGAAACCAGATGGGAGCACATCACAACAGAACAAAACATCCCTAGTAACAGTAATGGGCAGGGTTTTACTCTTACCATGCAAAAGAAAAAAAAATCTTCATGATATATGACTCTCAAATGAGAAAGAGAGAGACAGCAAAGTAACCCAACAAAAGAAATGAAGCAAATAGCAATGTCTCTGCATTTAATTTAAGAAGTCAGAACTGCAAAACAACAGGAATAGAGCGTGGTGTATAAGCAGTATATATCAGAATCAAAACCGGCTTTATTGGCCCAGTATGTGTGCACATTCAAGAAATTAACTCCGGTTCTACATTACTCTCAGTGTACTTACATAGAAATAGACACAGTCAGGGCAGAGGACAAAAAATAATCTAAATCAATAAGTCATAGGATGGTACAAAATACTTAGTGGTTGATGGTCTGGACTATACTGTGCGAAGAAGCAATTACAAATACTGTATGCTATACATCTCTCTCTCCATCCACCCATCCCTCCATCCATCTATCTATATATCAGTAACAGCATGATTTACATGTACAATGAGCAGGATATATGATAATGGCATCATACATGTTAGTAACTGTGCCTATGCTAAGAAGTATGGTCCATAGTGGAAGTTTGTGGATGTTTGGTGTCAGAGGGGTATTATATGAGTTTATGTATATGCTAGTCTTTTTTAATGTTGTTCTCATGTTCACACACCTTTCAACACTACTCACATTAACCAATCCCCCATCTGGATAGAACCAGTCACTGCTGTGGAGGCTCTAACATGTTTATTTTGTAGGAATGAACACAAATGCTGGTTGGTAAGAACTTCTAGTCATAATTGTAACTTCATATTTAGTGCTCATGCCATTTATGTAGCCCAGGTCTATGGCATAAGGTTCCATTCTAAGCAACAGTTGACAGAGATACTTAAATGTTTGCGGAACTTTCACACTGAACCTGGATTAGAAAAGAAATCAGGCAAGAGAATGTTAAATTTGCACGATAGGAACATCAGTAAGTACGAGTATTACTGCAGGTTCACTGTGGGTACAGACTGTAACAATACTCGGGCTGCAGTGTGGTTGAGGCAAAGGAAAATAAGTCTTTCTACTCATTCCTTTGCCAGTTCTCGTCATGGGCCCTGACAACAGCTTCATAAGTTTCACAAGAGATCGGTCTGATCTAAATGTGAAATACAAATTGGCTTTGTGACAGGTAACGTGATCTCCGCAACGCTGTCACTGCCATTTAAAGGATACTGTACGTTAGCGCAGTACGACGTGTATCTCACACGCGTCGGGGCCACCCAAAAATGCTGAACAGCCACTCCTCAATATTAACTTTTCCAGTCAGGCAAATCGGGCCTGAAATAGAGTAACATTATATCTGCAAATAAATTGCACTTTAGGGGCACCTTTAAAAAAACAGCCCGGACCTTATGCTACTTCATAACTGTCTCCCATTAATCAAGCTGTACATGGTATAAGTCCAGTTTTTTACGTGCTGTGAATGAGATACTATATGTTTTTGTACATACAGAAATACATTTGAACAGGACTGTTATCTTGCTCTTAATAAGAGTTCCTCCAGATAGCACATGTGGGGGGGCAGGGCCTCTCGCTGTGCAGACAGCTGCTTCACATCTGGAACTTAATATAAACATCATGGCCAATAAAATCATTCCATTTCCTTAATTACTATTCCTGTCATTTCCGCACTAAATGAAAAGTTATTAATTCAGGGCCAACACAAACATGCTTCTCCAATACAAGGAGCTGCTCCTGAAGAGTCGCCACCCTGACTACAGGCCGCTGTCACTGGACTGGAACCACAAGCTCCTGCCTCGCTCTGCCAGTGTGTGTTTGGATGTGTGAGTGTGTATGTATGCATGTATGTATGTACGGGGAGAGCAGAGAGGCCAAGGCGCTGCAGACATGAATGGAACACAAGATGGCGTCTTGTTTTCCATCTCATCCAAAAGTTCCCGCTGGTGCCAGTATAATCATGACAGGCACCGTTTCATCTCCGTCCTGCTCATTTCCTTCCTCCTCCCCTCCACACTCCTCCTCTTGTTCCTCTGCTGTTTCTCAGCGTGTTTCGACACATGCCCAGCAGCCCATTTCTCCACCCCATTCACACCACTCTTCCCTTCCATCCATTCTCCATCCATGTTGGCGTTTTTAGCATAATAGGTTGATAATAAGAGTTTGGAGATGGTCTGAAAGGATCCGTCTTTAACGCTGCCACAAATAACTACAAACACTGCAGCCACACACGAGAAAGAAAATGCAATCTCTCACAGGGTCATATGTCATCCAGCTACTTTTCAGATGAAACATTCCTCACAGCACATCATTATCAGCCGCCCATAACAGTCAAAATGCTCCCCATTGATTTCCAAGCTGCTGCTGCTGTTAGACATATCCAAAGGGCATATATGAATGGAATGAATATAGAGCTGCTTTACATAGGGGGCTTTGTAAAACGCCCCCCACACCCATTGCATCTTTGCATCAACACAAACGCCAGTGTATGTGTCCTTATCGAGCTTGACTCACCAACTACCAGCCCCCCCCCCCCCCCCCCCCCCCCCCCGGCAAAATAATGCTAATATTATATAGATTGAAATATATATGTGATTCAACATACTTTGACTCCAGCTGCAGCCAATCACAGACCAATGGAGAGGAAGAGGATTTGGTGAGCGACACATATACTTACACAAAAGACGCATGTATGCACTCAAATACCACCAGTTTTGC